AAATTAAATAATTTTTTAATCCATTGGCTTGCGATCTCGTTTATTAAAATATATATATATATATATATATATATATATATATATATATATGCAAACGAGAGACCAAAACGTCACGCTTCAAAGCGACCATGAAGCTAAAAAAAATGATTAGCCAAATAGAATTTTAAGTGTTTACAGCCTCGTAAAAATCCTATCTCTTAATAAAGGTGGATGAATCATTTCAATTATGTCTTATGATGTTAGTATAATCTTTTAAAAGTACAAATAGAGTTTTAAAAATATAATTTATATAGCAATGGTTGTAGTATATCCTTTTTAAAATGACAATAGAACTTATAGTTATAGGTATAAATGATATATTAGTACTCGTAAGTTATTCAGATTTGATTCAAAAAAAATTTGAATTCGGTTCGATTATTATCGAATCGAGTTTGAGCTCAAGTAGTTCGATTTATCGATCGAGTCAAATTTGAGTATTTTTATATTCGACTCGAGTAGCTTGCGAGTCTAATCAAATTTTTATATTTAAATATATTTTTATTATTTTAATTAATAAAATATTTCGAGTTTGAGTATGAATAATCAAATTCTTGTCGAGTATACGAATCGAGTCTAATCGAGCACGCTCGAGTAATTCGAATTTGATCACGAATTAAATTTGAATTTAAAAAATAAAATTCGATCGAGTTCGAATCAAATATTGAATCTCGAATTATGAATCGAACTCAAACTCAAAATTTTCATTATTTAACTCGACTCCACTCGATTACACACCTACTTATAACGATAATTTTTTATCAGTTAAAATAATAGTAATGACTTTTGCAACAGCAAAAAATTGTCATAAAAGAACTGCAACGATAATAGGAAATTGTGCAATTATTTTTCCGTTTCAAAAGATTTTTTCTATTGTAGTGTACGTCCTACCTAACCTAGCAAACAACCTATGATCACCAGCCTCATTCTATTAAAATCTTGTTCCCTTATTTCTTTGTCTGTCTGAGAATATTTGGCAGTATATATTTTCTTTTTATCTAATAAATTATTTCCCACGTTGTTTGTTTGAATGTTTCCCATTGACTTTGTGCTGATTTCTAGTATATAATTTTCTAGTGACAAAAAAATAAAATAATCGTCTAATAATTTTTTAATTGATTTGCACATCAATCATAATTTTGTATACACCCTCCACCCTCCGTCCTAAATTGATTGGGTGAGAATAATTTTTATCGAGTTAAAAAAATTTTTTGGTTTCTAATGAATTTAATATTAAAATTAAAAGTTAATAATTTTTAATATTAAAAAATAAATATTAAAAAATTAGATAAAATAAATGAGAGGGAGAAAGCCTATAAAATATGATATATCTATAAATCTTTTTATAAAAAGTATCCCGTAAGAGATTTTTGCTTGTCATGTGTCTTTTTTTTATGATTTTTTTTACAATGTTATGTCGTTTTGGTAAGGCTAGATGAGATGTTTTATTCGGATGATAGAGTAGAAAGTTCTTTCACTTCTAACGTCTTCTTATACTACTTTATGTTTAACAGTTGTTTTTAACTTTAACAGGTGTATTTAAACTTGACTTTCGAAGCTTGTGTTTTTAGGTTTTTATTGCTGTTTTAGAGCTGTTGCAAATAGTGTAATTTTGGCATGAAAATGAGTTTTTTGTAGTCTGCAATTGTTGATTTTTTTGTTTTTCCTTTTTGTTTTGAATGTTTTTAGGTAAAATTTGTGGTTTTTTTGTTGTCTAATTAAATATGAATATGGGTTTCTTTTTCTTTTGGGTTTTCTTAAGGTGATTTTCATGTTACATATTTTTATATTGAATGTGGTTTGGGTTTTGTAGTTTTCAAGGTTGCATATTCTTCTAAATGTGTTTTTGATGAAAATTGGATTGTTCTTTTGTTTTTTGGATTTTCATTCTGTTTCAGAACTATTGCAAAAGGTCTAACTTTCGTGTGAAATAGAGCTTTTTGTGGTATGTTATTGTTGTCTTAATTTTTTTCCTCTTATGTTTTTGGATAAAATCTGTCATTTTTTTTGTTATTTAATTGAATGTGGGTTTCTTTTTTTGGGGGGAAGGTTTCTTGAGGTGATTTTCATGTTATACATTTTTATGTTGAATGAGGTTTGGGTTTTGTGGTTCTCAGGATTGTATATTGTTATAAATTTTTTTTTTTTAATAATTTCTTTTTGCATGTTCTGAGGTTGGATGAAAATCTATTATTCTTTATAGAAACAGAGTTTTTCACCACATAATTTATGTCTTTTTTGAGAGGTTTTTGTTTTGCATGTTTGAATAAAGTTGTCAATTTATTTTTTATTGATTTTTTGTTATTTTTTTGTCTCAGGGTTTTTTCTACCTTTTTGAATATTAAAATTTTAGATTAGTATGAATTGTAATGTGTTTGTTAAGTTCTATGTGTTTTTTTTTTTTTTTACATTGTATATTTGATTTTTACTTATCAATTAATTGATCTAAAATTAAGGTTTTTATTGTTATTATTGAGCTTTATGTTGTGTTGTTTTTTATTGATAAAGAAACTTAGATTATGTGATGAGAAAAATATAGAATAGAAGTAGTTTTAAGGTAAAAAGAAGTATGAAAAAAAAAATTAAGTAATTGAATTAATTCGCAAGGAAGGGAGATTTATAAGTTAAACAAAAAAATCGACATTTGTAGTTGAAGAAGTAAAAGTTACGTTACTCATAGTCTATTCACTATCAGAATGTTTTTTTAACTTAATATGTAGTTTTGGAAAGTTAGAGAATTAATAAAATTGTTTAGAAATATTTGTTACCATGGATTATATAAAGAAGATATCTTTGTGATTAAAAATTTAGGTAAATACACCATGTAGTATGACAAATCAGGAAGTTATTGTTAAGACATTAGCTTAAAGTGATGGAGTAAGGAATTAGTTTTTTGTTTTAACTATCATCTTTTCTTGACTTTCATTTTGTCTTTCAATATAGGAAAGACTAAAAGAAATGTAGCTACTACACCTTTTCTCTTATGAGCTTAAGAAATTTTATTTGACCTTATCGCTTTTCATAACAATAGTGTTCTACAACAAAGAATGATGAACAATAGTATTGTTGTTTATTGCAGGAGAATGATAAAGTTGAATGTTATGAAAAGTTTTATAAATTTGTAAAGAAAAAAATTTAATCTTTTTATATGCTCCAGCATCATTAAACAAATATGGATGTAGAAGTTATGGGGTTGAGCTTGTGGTGGAATTGTTTATTGAACTCTCTTTTAGGCATGGATGATTCTGTCAACCAAAAGTCTGGACCAATGTGGTACATTGGAGCAAAGGGATAATTCTTTTTTCAATGGCTTTCTCTTATTACAATAACATATTTGAGTAATTAATGATAATTTGAAATAAAATATAGGTAGATAATCATTTTCCAGAAAACAAGAACATAACAACATTCAATCCTAATCAGTTGAAAAAAGTGTCAAGATAATTGGGAAGAAATAAGAGTAAAAATTAGCGTTTGCTTGATGATGAAAATATACTGTAAGGTTCTATGGTGTTAGGAAAAAAATGATTAGCTCTTCTATTCGGTTCCAGTAAGACCAATTTAAAAAAATATGTTGTATTGCATTTTTCATTATTCGTGGTGACTTAAATAGCAAAGGATGGCCATTTGGAATTAGGTCACATATAGTGTTGAATTTTTTTTATGGGTTATTTAAAATGTGACAATGGATTATAGAGATTGATAATACATTGATAATTAAATTACAGGTTTATTGGATTTTTTTTATATTATGAACAATTTATATAGACAAATTTATATAAATGGATTTTGATTAAAATCAGAAGTTTGTTTAGATTCCATTTGTTTCGCAAAAAAAGACTTCTAAAAAATGATTTTTGAAAACTGTTTACTTTTTTCCTGAATTGAAAGTGATTTTTTGTTATTTAGAATGAAAAATATTTTTTGATATTTGGTTGTTTTTTGGAAAATTTATTTTTTTCAAATAATATTAATATAACTATTAAAATATTAAAATATATTGAAATTATTTATTATTAAAATTATTTACATTAAAAAATAATTATATTTTAATAATAATATTTAATATTTAAATATTATGTTAATAAAAAAAAAACTTAAAATAAAACTATTTATTATTCTTTATATTATTTATTAATCTATTAATATATTAATTTATTATTTATTAATAATATTTAATAATATTATTAATATATTATATAATAATATATTATTTATTAATATATTGTAATATATTTATTAATAGTATATTATTAATTTATATAATATTATTTATTAATATATTATAATATAATATTATTTATAAGTAAAATTATGCTCAAAAATATTAATAAATAGTTATACTAATAGATAATTTTTTTTTGGAGAATGTCTTTTCCTTTTCAAATTCATAAGACAATTTTAAAAAAAATCTCATTTTTCATTGATCAATAAGTCATTTTCTGTTGATTAATCAATTTTTTGTTAAATAAACACCTGAAAATATGAAAATTATTTTTTAATACTCATTTTTTACAAAACAAATGGAATCTTACTATATTTTGTTTTACATTAATTATAATTAAATTATGATATTGATTAATCATTCAATTTATTTGTATGTGTGTAGGCAATATTTATTAACAGAGCTTGCTGTTTTTATTATTGTTTTAAATTATATGATTAATTTATTAACTTATTTGTTTTTTTGTTATAAATTATGAGATATATATTTTTTTTCAAGTGCAGTTGTGGGTATTAAATTAAGTTGTTTAAGGTAAATTTTAGCTTTGGTGTATATAACAAAAAGGGTGTTGGGTCCGCGCACAATGGCTGGGCCGACACCCAGTTACCTTTGTCAGTCTTGGCCACCCCTACCTTCCTATAAATGGATGGCATTCGGCCATGAAAAAGGATGTAGGAAATGATCCAAAAATCATAGAAGGAAAGGAAAGAGAGATCGGCGGAAAAGCAGAGAGAAATTCCTTGTGAACTTTTCAAGAACTCTTTGCGTCCTGTGTTAAAGATTTACATTCTGAACAAATTTCGCTTTGTCATTTTATTCTTAATCAGTGAATTAAGTCGACAAATTTTCACGATCCTGTAAGTTCTAATTCCACAGTTTTGATAATTTGTTCATAACTGCTATCTAACAGTGCATATCATATGGAGTTTAAGTTTAATATTTGTTTGGCATCCAATGTACCACGGCTCTAGATAATGAAGCTAAGCCACAAGTAAACACATTCCTTTCAAAGCTTATCTTTCTCTCTCGCTTTCTCAGTATTCACGCTCTGTCTTCTCTGTGTGCTCATCATGATGCAATGAAGAGATGTTTTCCATGGGGAGGATAATTCTGCTGATTCATCTCATATGTTTTGCTCTCTTGGGAGAGCTCAGCACTTCACGGGCGGAAGATAAGATTCAGAACGCATCAAAGTTGGAGATGTTCGTTGATGAGCTTCCAGATATGCCTAAAATCCAAGGTTTTAACGTGGTGAATGGTTCCCCCAAAGCTAAGTCTCTGACTATTGGCATGTTTAAGAAGAAATGGGTTAGTATTTATTTCTTGTCTTTCCTTACAATCCCTTTCTTTTCAAACTCAAATCTTCTTGCTTCCCTGCATTTTTGGTTTCAGAATGAAATTTGAGTTCCAAGAGAATTCTGTTCTCTTGGCGTCCTCCACAGTCAAAAAAGAACGCCTAAGTAAGAGGGTTGCCGGTGGCCTTGGCTCAACTGATCTGCAATTTGGTAGTAGATCAAGTTAATTGCTTCTTTTTCAAATTCTGCAGCTTTTGACAAGCAATAATTGAATCTCTAATAACAGCCAAAACAAACCTGCAAGAATTCATAATTTTTAAACAATTTTTTAGTTTAAGTGAGGGAGTTTCTTCCTATGTCTCCTTGGCTTGAGAAGGTTGGCGCTTTCCCACCTTTAAAAGTACAAAGCTGACAGCGAGCAGAGTGATTCAATTTCGTAAAAGAATCTTTTCTTTTTACATATCTTTTTTAAAAAATAAAAAGTACGGCAAAATCATCATTCCAAGACATTTAAAAAATTTTTTTGCGGTAACTATCCATCCATGCTTGTAATTGTTTATTACTAGCTTCTTTCAACAAAGTAATTAAATGGCGTTGGTAAATTCGAGGAGTTTTTTTTTTTTTTTTAAAGATCATTGTATTCAAAGAGAATTGTCGTAAATGAATGAGGAAGCTGTCTATCTGAGAAACCTAAATTTTGGTTGTGAAACATCATAAATCATCTTGGTTGTCTCCTTTTCCGTTGCAGAAATTCCACAGGGATCTCCCTCCAACGCCAGTGTTTGCCTACGGTGCCTCCAGGATCACGGCAACAGTTCCTGGTCCGACCATCGAGGTCCTCCATGGCATTGACACTTACGTGACGTGGCAAAATCACCTCCCTTCAAAGCACATACTGCCATGGGATCCAACAATCCCTACTGCCATGACGGCCTCCAAGAAGGGAGTCCCTACGGTAGTTCATCTCCATGGCGGCATCCATGAACCTGCCAGTGATGGAAACTCGGACTCATGGTTCACCGCTGGATTCAAAGATAAGGGTCCTGCTTGGTCTAAGAGAACATATCACTACAACAATAATCAACAGCCTGGAAATCTATGGTACCATGATCATGCCAAGGGATTGACCAGAGTCAACCTATTAGCCGGTCTGATTGGGGCCTATGTTATTCGCCATCCTGATGTTGAGGGCCCACTTAAACTTCCCTATGGCGACGAGTTTGATCGACCTTTGATCGTGTTTGATCGTAGCTTTCGTAAAGATGGATCCATATACATGAATTCCACAGGAAACAATCCCTCTATACATCCACAATGGCAGCCAGAATATTTTGGCGACGCAATCATAGTGAATGGCAAAGCGTGGCCAAAAATGAAAGTACGACGTCGTAAATATAGATTCCGGATAATCAATGCTAGCAATGCTAGATTCTTCAGATTCTTCTTCACCAATGGCTTAGAATTCATCCACGTGGCATCTGACTCAACTTATCTTTCGGAACCCGTTATGACCAACGAAACTCTGTTGGCCCCATCAGAAATTGCCGACGTGGTGGTTGACTTTTCATTGTCAAAGACTCATGATGCTATTCTTGCTAACAGTGCACGCTACCCTTTCCCGTCCGGTGACCCAGTCAATGACTCAAACGGTAAAGTCATGAAATTTGTCATCAAGAAAAATCGAGATGTTGACACGTGGCTGGTACCCAATATATTGATAAAATATCCATCCCCAGATTTATCCAGTGTCTCGCAGGCACGATACATAACATTGTACGAGTACACAAGCGACGTCGGTGAGCCTACGCATCTTTTCATCAACGGGAAGCCGTACGAAGCGCCTGCGACGGAGATGCCTAAAGAGGGGACGAGTGAGATTTGGAACGTGATTAATCTAACGGAGGATAATCATCCGTTGCACATTCATTTGGGACTATTTACGGTGTTGGATCAAACGGAGCTGGAAAATGAAGAGGAGTTCAAAGGTTGCATGTTGAAAAACAACGATGCGATCAAGTGCCAAATAAGCAAGCATGCACGTGGCAAGAAGATAGAGGTGGCAGCACATGAGAAAGGGTGGAAGAATGTGTATAAGATGGCACCAGGATTTGTGACAAAAATATTGGTTAGATTTTCTTATATACATTCCAACACTTCATATTCATTTGATCCTACTGGGCTGCCTGGTTACGTGTATCATTGCCATGTAAGTATATCTCCTTTTCCTTTTATATTATTCATCTTTTTCATACTACCATATTCTTAAATATTTATATTATGAAAAATGTTAATTATAATTTTGCGAGATTCGTTAATATTAAAATGATGTTATCTTACTTTTGTTAAATTTCAAATTTCGTATAATTTCACATTTAAATTGAATACTTAACATTAAATCAAAATTCAAGTTCAATTATGATTTTTGTTTTGTACCCTTCTGAATGTAACCTTCACATGAAATGAGACTGTTAAATTAAAATTTTATTATAAATACTGCATTTTTGTTTTAGAATATGATGAAAATAAATATATTAAATGTAGATTTACTCAGGTCTGTCTTTTTGCCTGCCTATATATTCACGAGTTGCCTGTGTTATAAAATCAAAAGATGCTTTTGTTTTGGCAGTATTATTTTTAAATCGAAATGACAGAATTCAGTACTGTTGGCACATACAGATATTGGATCATGAAGATAATATGATGATGAGGCCCTTGAAGGTGATCAAATGAGAATCTTAAACATGGTAATTATCTCAAAAGCTGATCACAGAATTTGTTGCTTTTTCCAGATTGAAAATTTGGAACTTCTTTCTTCTCTTGTTTTCATTTTAACATTCAGTTTCCAATTCAATGTCGGCATTGGAAACGACTCTTCTAAAGCTAGAAAGCACCTGTAAACTTCTTTTATTGTATTCCTGAGCTGAGTTTCAAATTATCAACACATAGACAACATATACATACATACATACATACATACATACATACATATATATATATATAAAACAAAATTATATTGGTTAAATACCATTTAGATGAGTTAAATTAATAATTTTAGAATTTGAATTAAAATAATACATTATTTAAAAATTCAAGATACAAATTATATATTTTATTTTTTTAGATATTAATTTAGATATATTTAAAAATTTAGGTACGAAAAATATAATTAACCCTTCTAAATTCAATTGATTTCTGTTTCTTAAAAAGAAAAAAAAGAAAAGAGATATACTTAACAAATTTTTGTGAAACATAATGGGCTGCTATTAGAGTCGGTTTACAAGGGGATGGGCGGCCTTGCTAAAGTGGGTCATTGTAGGTAAGATAAGGGCCAAGGCCGTCAATCCACTACCAAATTGGGGAGCCCAAAATGGGGCTTTACCTGTTGCATTATCTTTATCTCTCGGTCAAAAACTCTAAAACACGGAGCAGTCCAACAGCTACCATAGCATTTTCATTTTTCCGCCAAAAATGGCAGCGGCCACATCTCTCCATCTATACCATACGTGGCAATCACTGCCCAACCACAATCGATTCATCACTAAATCACGGCCGTCAATTCGGCCGAGTATCACTTGCTACGCTTCTCACTCCACAAACAAGGTCAGTCACTTCACTCTCTTAAACCGAAATTTTAAATAAGATTTTCCTTTTCCTTTTGATAGTAGTACATACATATGATTTCTGAGGATTTTTTTGGAGGTCGGATTCAGTGGAAGAGGGATTACACAAGCGTAATGATAGTGCCAACGGGAGTGGGGGCCAGCATTGGAGGGTTTGCCGGTGATGCTCTGCCTGTTGCTCGCGCCTTATCCTCTGTTGTTGATTGTCTCATTTCACATCCGAATGTAATTGGAAGACTTTTTTCTTCTTTTCCTTTTTAAGGGTTTCAAATAAATTTAATTTAATGGTAAGAGGTATGAAATTACTAGTATTAAAATTTTGCAGGTTCTTAATGCAGCAATGTTATACTGGCCCATGCCCAATGTAATGTATGTAGAAGGTTATGCTCTAGACAGATTCGCACAAGGATTATGGGCTCTGCGACCCGTTCATCAAAACAAGGTTTTTTTTTTTTTTTTTCCAATTTTGAAATACTTATGCCTAGTTTGTTTTGATCATGTCCTTTTCAAATTTAATGTTCACGTTTGTCGTTTCATGGCATGAAAATTAAGAAAAGAAAATTGAATCTAGTGTTTATTTATAAAATAAAATTGAAAACATATTTATGATATTGATGTTCAATTATTTCTAATGCTAAAAATTTGCAAAGGGATCATGAAAGATTCATATAGAATGTAGGAAAAGTAAGATTTTTTAAATGTTCAAAAGAAAAAGAAATATGAGATCATTTTGGGACATCAAAAAATAAAGGTGGACTTTCAATTTGGGATGAGTATAATAAGCATTATTACTTGCTTGTTGTTGCCAGTTGCTATCATTTAACTTTATTGAGCTTTTGATTTGGGGCAGGTGGGATTGGTTCTTGATGCTGGCATAGAAGAAAATCTTCGAATCCGCCATTTGCAAGTGGTGGATGCCACAAGGGCTTCGCTTGGATTGCCGGTTGTTGAATATGTTGTCACTGACACCCCATTAGAGGTACCAATTTAGCTTATAAGAGATACTTGAGTGTTGAACTTAATCTGCCAATTGGGAAAACAAAACAATAAAAGTTTCAGGCAATATCATGTCACAGTTTCTGCTCCATAATGGTGCTGTACTAGCTGAAAAAATTTTATATCAAACTGTGATATATAAAACAATAAATTGCATCTCCTTGTAGTAAATCGCACTATTGCTTGTATGTTTTAGGGGCAAATTTTTGTGCTGATGCATTGTGTCAGCTGAAGGTTGGAGTTGGCATGTCATGGTTTAATATTGTTGTTGATGATCTTACTTGGAGAAAATTTGAGTATAAAATCGAAAGAAGAGAATAACCTGATGCTCCATAAAGTAAAACAAGTTTTGCAGGTGGAAAAGTGGATAAATCCAACAACTGGGCAATCAACAGGTAGGATTAAGCACCCTGATTCTTTACTCCGAGCTGTTAAGAATTTAGTGGAACGATCGCAGGTGGATGCTGTTGCTGTTGTTGGGCGCTTCCCAGATGATGAAGCGGATGACCTTGATGACTATCGACTTGGAATTGTAAGGCAATTATTTTTTCTACTTGACTTTTTGAGTGATGTGCAAAGTATCTATTATGTTTACCATCTGGAAGGTCTTTATAAATGCACATAGAAGGCAAAAGTTTCTAATAATAATTTTCTTTGATGAACTCCAACTTGGCATTAAGTGTATGTTGTCGGTTGTTTTTTCAAGTTACCTGAGAATAAACATGGTTAGAAGAAATCTTCTAATTAGTTTCGAAAATTTTGGCTTTTGAATATCATAGAAAAAGGATGGATGCTATAATGCTATTCTTTTTCCCTTTGCTATCATCTTCCTTTTCTCTTGTTAGTAAGTTGTTAATTTGAAATTTCCTTTGAAATCGATTTTAAATGATAGCTATGGACCCATGAGTACTACTTGAGTCATGGCTAATGTCGTAACGTCTAGATCCGAGGATCTAATCGCTACCATTGGATTTTCAGGGAAGTCCCACCATCTTTTTTTATCTAGGTGGCGATTGGCCACCTAAGGAATCTGCCCTTTTTAGGGAAACACCTAAGCTTAAGGGTCCCTAAAAGAATAGGTTCGGGTCTGCTTAACCAGAACAGAGTTCGGGTAGTTCGTTACGGTTGAGGAAGGTTATAGCACCCTCACAACGCCCATCAAAAGATGGTACCAGCTTGAATTTGTGTTATCCAAAAGCCTTAAAATTTACCAAAGTAGTTAGTTTGTTGAAAATTAATTCTCAATTGACTCTAATCACTTTTTAGGCCAGAAAATTGAAGAAAATTCTCTCACCTCAAGAGTATGGCAAGAAAAAACACTGTTTCACTTGCATGAGGCTCCGCCGTCCGGATTATTTAAAGAAAAATCAAGATCAAACCAATTAATTAATTATCGAAAATTATTCTCAATTGACTCTAATACTTTTAGCAGAAAATTGAGAAAATTCCCTCACCTCAGGAGTATGCAAGAAAAACTACTGTTTCACTTGCAGAGGCTCCGTCGTCGGATTAATTAAAGAAAAAAAAAATCAAAATCAGCCAAGTAATTAATTATCAGAAATTATTCTCAATTGACTCTAATACTTTTAGCAGAAAATTGAGAAAATTCCCTCACCTCAGGAGTATGCAAGAAAAACTACTGTTTTTACTTGTAGAGGCTCCGTCGTCGGATTAATTAAAAAAAAAAAAAAAAAATCAAGATCAAAATCAAAGTCAAATAAAAAAATTCAAAAAAAAAAAAAAAAAAAAACCTGGAGCGGCTCGGCTATCGGCTCGGCTCGGCTCGGCTCAAGGAAGAAAAAAAACGGCTCGGAGGAGCGGCTTGGAAGCTCGGCTCGGCTCGGCTTGGCTCGGAGGGAGGCTGGCACGCGCGGGTCAGAAGCGGGTCGACGCTCGGGTCGGGTCGGGTCACGGCAAAACGCGCGGATCCTCTGGTTACTTAAGGCCAAAACGACGTCGTTTTTGGAGGGTATTTAAGGCACTCTCCTCTGTTTTTCGGCAGAACGCTCCTCCCCTCTCTCTCTCTTCCTTCCCTTTTCTCTCCCTTCTCTCTAGAAAACCGAAGAACACCGGTGCCGGATTCTGGAAATGTCGCCGGAATCTGGAATTTTTGCCGGAATATGGCCGGAATCTTCGCCGGTTTCTGGGAATCTCGCCGGAAACTGGGTTGGTCACCGGAATCTTCAAGTTTCGCCGGAATTTGTGCCGGAAAATTCAAATGTCGCCGGAATTTTCGCCGGAATCTGGAAATTTCCCAGAAATTTCCAGAAAAAATTTTCGCAAAAAAATTTCTAAAAAATTTTTTCAGATCCCTACAGCTATCCTAACACTTCTCGACCTTCTTTAGCCTTCGAAAACTCTTTTAAACACTTTTTTTCTCTCAAATTCAGTAGCTTTGCTCACTGTTTTTTTCTGTGTTCTTGAACTGTTCCAGGAGGTGCTTTATATAGGGATTGATCAGGAGTTTCTGATCAATCCCAACTCCTCCTTGGACGGGGATTCAGTCTTTGAATCCAATTGGACTCTTTAGATTGAATCCCCACTCCCAGTAGGATTCTTCAGCTTCAATCTCAACCTTCCAAAAAAATCAAATAAATATAAAAAAAATAATAGATAATTAGAACAGATAAATAAAAAGATATTATAAAAAAAAAATATCTGATAATCAGAAAAAAATCAGAACAGATAATTTAAAAAAAATAATAATAAAATAAGATAAACCCAAAAATATCTTACAAAAATAATAATAATAATAATAATAATAATAAATATATAACTATATAAATAATATACATATAAATCTAATCTAAATAAATAAATACAGATATACATATATTAATAATAATAAATATAAAAATACAAAGAAAAAAAAAAAAAAAAGGAAAAAAAAATAATAATAATACATGATTGAATTGGGCCTTACCCATTTGGGCCAGGCCCAAATGATCTGGGTCAGGCCCAATTGATCCGGGTCAGGCCCAATTGATCCGGGCCCGGACCTGATTGGGTGTCTACAGCTGCCCCTCTTTGCACATTTTCTGTGAAACAGAAATTGCGCAAAGACGTAGACACCCAATCAAGACTCAACTCAACATTTTTATTTTTGATTTTTTTTTTTTTGTTTTTTTTTTTTTTTTTTTTTTTTTTTTTTTTGATTTTTTTGTTTTTGTTTTTTTTTTTTTTTTTTTTTTTTGTTTTTTTTTGGCCGAAGCTCCTCTAAACAGAGACTCAACGACTTTTGAAAGTAAATTGCTCCTCTAAACAGAGGCAACGGACTTTGGAAAGTAAATTGCTCCTCTAAACAGAGGCAACACGACTTTGGAAAAATAAATTGCTCCTCTAAACAGAGGCAACGGAACTTTGAAAAATAAATTGCTCCTCTAAACAGAGGCACCACGACTTTTGAAAAGTAAATTGCTCCTCTAAACAGAGGCAACGACTTTGAAAATAAATTGCTCCTCTAAACAGAGGCAACGAACTTTGAAAAATAAATTGCTCCTCTAAACAGAGGCAACGACTTTTGAAAAGTAAATTGCTCCTCTAAACAGAGGCAACGAACTTTGAAAATAAATTGCTCCTCTAAACAGAGGCACCACGACTTTGAAAAATAAATTGCTCCTCTAAACAGAGGCACCACGACTTTTGAAAAGTAAATTGCTCCTCTAAACAGAGGCAACAGAACTTTGAAAAATAAATTGCTCCTCTAAACAGAGGCACCACGACTTTTGAAAAGTAAATTGCTCCTCTAAACAGAGGCAACGGAACTTTGAAAAATAAATTGCTCCTCTAAACAGAGGCAACGAACTTTGAAAAGTAAATTCTCCTAGACGATCATGTCCGAAGGAGTTGAAAGTTGTGTTTGAAGGGATTTCAGGAGATTATGCCCAAAGGTCTTATAAATCAACCCCGATACCAAGAGACATCCTATTTCAAGGATTAGGAACTTACCTGACAAGTTTCTTCTCAAACTTGCAAAGTCTTTTCATATCTGTCTTTTTCATGTGGGATGTTGGAACACCCCTGCTTCTTGAATTTGTACACTATACTTTCTTGAAAGTAGTGTATGCTATGCAAATGCATATAAATTTCAATGCATGCTATGCAAATGTTGGTCAATTAATTCCTGTTCAATGTATGGTACTCAAGTTTCTCAAGCTCTTTTTTTCTTGGGTGTCAAGCCCTTTGATTCCTCAAGGATCCAATTGCACTGCTCTTCTAAGATCGAACCAGTGTAGCTCTCAATTGTCTCTTCCACTCACATTCTTCTTGTAAGAAATCTCTTCCTAGATTCAATTTCCTAATTAGGAACTGAACATGTCGATTCTGCCTTTCTCACTCTTGACTCATTCAATGTAATGTAAAAATCTTTCCTGTGGTTATTCATTCATCAATCATTATTTCAAATTCAAAAAGTAAGAATGCATTTGCACATTTCTTCAATGGTGGGGTATTAAGAAGAAAAGAATCTGAATGTTGAGAAACAGTCATAAGAAAAAAGACACAAAGAATGGAATAGAATGTCTCTTATTAGCAAAATGTTGGCAAACTTTGGTCAAGAAAGAATTACAAGGATAGGTATGGGGACAAAGCCCAAAATGAACAATCAGATAATCATGATAACACATCTCAAAGTCTTTTATGAAAACTCAACCCTCTGATGTATTTAACAACTTGGAACTCTTCCGAACTTGCTAGCCCCTATATCAGCAGACTTTTAAATTCGATGCCGTATCCTCCTTATCTAAGCTGCCTTTTCAGGTTTTCAACTTAGACAACCCCCTATGACTCAAACCGCCCTTTTTGGGTTTTCGCCTTGAGTCCTCCTTTTTCATTCACTTTTTCTTTTTTTCCATTTTTTCCATTTTTTTTTCATTTTTCATCATTTTTCATTTTTTCCATTTTTTCATTTTTTTATTTTTTTATTTTTTTGTATTTTTTTCAAGCATAGTATTTCTTCACAGCATCAGAATTTACAGGATGGGGTAAATCGTTTCCATCCATCTCAGTCAGTATCAATGCTCCACCCGAAAAAGCCCGTTTCACCACATACGGCCCTTCCCAATTCGGAGTCCATTTTCCTCTACTATCGTGCTGGATTGGGAGAATTCTTTTCAAAACCAACTCTCCTTCTCGAAAGCAACGAGGCCGAGTCTTCTTATCATGAGCCCTCATCATTCTTCTTTGGTATAACTGACCATGGCACAGTGCAGTCAATCTCTTTTCTTCTATGAAATTTAACTGCTCATAACGTTCTCGAATCCATTCAGCCTCTTCCAACTCAACTTCTTTTAAGACTCTCAAAGAGGGGATCTCTACTTCCACTGGTAGTACAGCTTCCATCCCATAAACCAAAGAAAATGGGGTTGCCCCAGTAGAGGTGCGAACTGACGTTCGATATGCAAGCAAGGCAAATGGCAACTTCTCATGCCAATCTTTGTAAGTCTCGGTCATCTTCTCCAGAATCCTCTTTATGTTCTTATTGGCTGCCTCAACTGCTCCATTCATTTTCGGACGATAAGGTGCCGAGTTATGATGCTTGATCTTGTATTGAGCACATATTTCTTGCATCATCTTACTATTTAGATTCTTGGCATTGTCTGAAATAATTCTCTCCGGAAGTCCATATCTACAAATGATCTCTTTCTTTATGAACTTGCAAACCACGGAGCGTGTCACATTTGCATATGATGCTGCTTCCACCCACTTTGTGAAGTAATCTATCATCACAAAAATGAATCTGTGCCGGTTAGAAGCTTTTGGAGTGATTGGACCAATGACATCCATGCCCCACATTGAAAATGGCCATGATGGTGCCATAACATGTAAAGCAGATGGTGGAGCAAGGATCTTATCAGCATATATCTGGCATTTATGACATTTACGAGCATAGTCGATGCAATCATTCTCCATCGTCAACCAGTAATATCCCGCTCTCATGATCTGTCTTGCCATCATATGTCCACTAGCATGTGCCCCACATATTCCCTCATGCACCTCTTTAATGATTTTCTTCGCTTCAGTCTCATCTACACACCTCAATAATACTTTATCTTTACTTCTTTTGTACAGGACATCCCCATCCAGGAAAAAGCTCATAGCCAATCTTCGGATGACCCTTTTATCATTTTCTGTTGCATGAACTGGATACTGCTGATCCTTGACATACTGTAAGATGTCATAATACCAGGGTTTTCCATCTCTTTCCCCCTCTACATTAGAACAATACGCTGGTATATCCTTAACATCTAACTTGATGGGCTGAATGTCCGTATTATGATTAATTCGAATCATCGCGGCCAGAGTAGCCAATGCATCAGCAATCACATTCTCTTCCCGGGGTAAGTGATCGAACTGGACATCTTCAAATTGTTTTGTCAGCTCTAGAATATACTTATGATACGGAACGAGTTTTGAATCTCTCGTCTCCCATTCTCCTTTCAACTGGTATATGACTAGAGCTGAGTCTCCAAATACTTTCAGTACTTTCACTCTTCTTTCTATAGCAGCTTGCAGGCCCATGACACATGCCTCATACTCAGCGATGTTATTTGTGCAATTAAAATTTAACCTCGCTGTTACAGGATAGTATTGTTCTTCTGGAGAAATCAAAATTGCCCCAATTCCATGCCCCAAGGCGTTAGCAGCTCCATCAAAGTACATTCTCCAACAT